ATAAAAGGAGTCATTTTATAATAGAAAAATTATATTTGTGGGTTTTATTCACTAATTAAGTTAATTTTGAGAATAAAGCATAGGCGACAAACTGGTTCAACTAATGAGCTTCTTTGTCTTAATGAAGTTAAAAATAAATAAAAGTGATATTAACTATAGCTGAAGTCCCCAAACAAATGATATCCTAAGAAATGACTACTGTGGAAGCCAATTCATGAAGTGTGAAAGCCTTTAAGTATTCGTATAGACTAGTATAAGATATATAGGAATGGACAAATAGGAAAACATTAACTGTACAGCTAAATTAAAATGAAATTCATTCTTATAGTATTTCATAAAAGAGTTATTCCTATAGCATTTCAGGAAAATGGAAGATGCATGACATTCTAGTAGTTAGTATACTAGATATTCAGAACAGAGATAGTTATACATTTCTATAAATATGTATCTAAACTTGCCTTTATTTTCATTACCAGATGTACTCTGATGATTTTCCTCATCTTTTTGACATTAAAAATAGTTATTGAAAATTCAGAGTCTTCTATCTTAAATTACAAACTGAGAGAATTCATTCATGAAAATACATCCTCATGCACAATATACACAATGGCATTGCTTTCACAGTGGTAAAGGAGAGAACAAAAGGCACATAAAGTACGGCCTACTATTCATGAATAAAAAAAGGTGATGAGTTAAACATGATAAAATTAGATCTAAAGTTATTCTGCACTGTTTAAAGAAATTTAAATTTTTAAAAAACCAACAGCTTTAATAAGATGAAGCTTCAATTCTCAGTTTTAAGTGAAAATTTGATAAAGGAAGTGTATAAATATATTTACTGATTATATAATATTTTAAGTTTTAAAATCCTTTCCTAAATATTCTGACAAAGGAAGTAGCAAATATTATGATACATAAACACAATAGGGACTTTAAAAACACCAAAATGAAGGACCTCCATAGCATTTAGAAGGAGGACTCTGTGGGGAGAAATTATGATTGTGAATAAATATTAGAACGATATTGAGCTGGGATGAAGAAGAGGAAATTACAGTTAATTGCTATTTTAGGAAAATAATTTTATGGATAAAATGATAGTCTCTGAAAGTTTAAAGAACCAAAACTTTGGAATTTATATTCAGCTCTATATTTACTTGTAATTTCCCTCTACAAAATCAAAATTCTTGAGAGAAGAGGCTAGGACTTCAACATACCTTTTCAGGTAACACATGGTAAAATATAGTGTTTTAGTAGGTACTCAATAAACATTTTTGAATAAATAAACTGAATGTAAAGCTGCGTAAAGGATAAGTATAAATCTTGGACAGAGGAACTGTCTATAATTTTAGTTTAATTTAAACATTAAGGAAAATGTTCAAGGTAAATTAAATAATCTGATAAGTTACCTAAATAGCTTATGTAATATCTCTCCATTAATAAAACTAGGTAATTTATTTTAAAATTAGTACTGAAAAACAATCTGTTCTTTATTGTGCATTTATAAATTGGAGCCCAAAGTCCTACATGAAATTGAAAAGTAATACTTCTACAACATTCAATTATTTATTTTAGACACACAGACCTGCCTTGACCTCTTCACCCTGCTTTTCTCCCCCCTGCTCTTCCACATGCCCCGTTTCTTCATTGACGTCTGTATTTGCACAAGTAAAAGTGAAGAAAAAGATAAGACCAGATATGTATATTTGTTACTCTTAAGTGAAACAAAACAAAAAATTTCAAATTAGTCATGATATAGTGAGTGATTATAAGGAGACTAATAGATTATTTTTAATGAGTTTCTGACATGTTATGGAAGCAAATGAGTATACTGTTGATAAATTATCACATTGTCTCCTTTTATGACAGCTTCAACTTGTAAAAGAAATCGTAGGCCCTAAAATATTGCGAAATGTGATAACTGTGTAAAGGAGGCAAAATACTTTGTCTATAAACTTGTATATTCTTAGAAAATAATATTATATAAATTTTCTCCTAGAGAAACAAAAAATAATATTATAATCCCTTTTATTTTTACAAAATGCCAGTGCATCAAAGTTGGAGAAAATAAATAATAATAATCATGCCTCACAGCTGTTTAGTACATTTCATCTTCGTTATATTGCTCCTATGTTCTCTGGTTCTGAGACAGAAGATGACTAATACTGTACCGTTATCAAGACCATCATATATAAGGTTTTAAATTAATTTAATTAACAGACTAAAATATAATATAACCAAAATCAAAAGGAATTAAATTAGGACTTGCACATTTTTTAGCTGTTGAACAAGATCAGAAAATAAACATGTCATAACTTTGATTCTAAAGTAATGCCATTCAATTACAACTTCTGACAAATTTTTAGGAGATAATCCAAACAATTTAATTTAGATCATCAGTTTTGGGTTATGTACCTTTAACTTCAGTTAGAAGTTGATTTCCAAAAGAGATATTATAAATTTCCTTTAAATCTAAAGAGAATTATACAATCATGCATCTACTGAAGTCTTCATATCAACATTTATGAAAACACCCTTAAAAATCATCCATACTTTTAAGCAAAACAAAACAAACAAAAACCAAAAAATCCTTTTATTTCATACTGGAAAGGATAAGGCAAGTTTTGGCTTTCCTCTTTTTCATTTATAGAAATGGAAAAGTCACAATTAGGGACATTAAAGGAAACCTGTGGTTTTAATAGATTCTACAGGGCAAAAAACAGATAGTATATAGAATGTTTGTTGACAAGCCCATTAAAAACTTTCTCAACCCTGACTTTCTTATCAGCTCTGTGTGGGTTTTCTGGTATATTTATTATTACAAAGAATGGAGCTACTCATGTCTCAATAGACTATTGTTATAAAAGATTAAAATTGAATTTTTTTAAAAATTGTGACAAACTACATTTCTGACTTATGCCAACAAATGATGTCAAAACTCTATCTTTAAAAATCTTGGGGAGACAAAAAATTGTATACATACTACAGAACTTTTCTAATGAAAAGTACTTTTAAAATTATATATCCCCATTCTTACACAAATAACAGAACTATAGAAATGCTGCTGAAATCTTTTTATCAGGCAGCAGAATAGACCATTAGTCACAAGACTTCTAAGTTGTTTAAAATCACGGTACATAGCAAATAGAAAGGACCACAAAATAGAAGTTAATAAATCATTCAACCACAACCAACATGAAGACAACTTGTTCCAAGTTATGTAAGGCAATGAAAGTATTGCTGCCCAAATGCAATCCACTTAGAAATTTGTTACAAATAGGTTATAGAAATATGGATTTTAATGTAAACATATGTAGAAAGACAAGATTATTTTAGCGGTACTTTATATGCTATTTGAAGTAGCTTTTCAGTTTTTAAATAAATATTTCAAGCGTTCATTCAATAAATGTTTATTGAGGGCCCATAATGTGCCACACATTATTTTATATGCTGGAGATTTATCAGGAAAAGAAATAAAAAGAGTTAATAAAGTTACAAAGTCAATTTCAGAATTCCATAATTAACAGAGGAATTTTTATTGTCCTAGAAAAGGTATGATGCTCCATATATCATGCCAATATTTTCTCTTGAGTCAAAATGTAGTCTTGATAATAAAAGTGTACATATTTAACAGTAGTCTTGCTACAATGTGAAAAATGATGTAGGAAGGAAATACAAACCACAATCACTATCTAATTCAACAACTTTCTTTTCTAGAAAGCCAAATTTAATAATTAAAAGATCATCATAAATACAAAATGAAATATATGATGATAATTACAACTAGACTAGGTGTACATCCTCAATGACATAAACACAGACTGCAATTGATATCTTTGGTTAAAGTCTTGTACAAAACATAGAATTCTGCTTAAAAGGAAAACTAAATTTTTTAAAAGGAGGAAATTTTATCTTGTCATTTAAAAGAAGTTAAACTCTTTGCATTCTTACTTGACTAAATCAAAGAAATTTAACTTCTTGGTAAAATTTCCAAGTAAAACAAAAGTTGAATACTTTACCAGAAATCATAAAACAAAATAATTCTACTGTATATAAAAGTCTATACAATGGAGGGATATCAATTGCAGTTGGGTTTATTTTTGCTTACATAGCCCCCCAAAAAAGGCTACCAGCACAAAACAAACCCTCCTTTATGTACAGACCTTCATAAGGTTCTATCTCCTTGACTCCATTGTCTAGGAAAAACAAAATAAAAACAGAACAAAAAAGGGAACCAAAGCACAGGGGTTAAAAACAACAGAAATTTCCAAAGGTACAAAATGTATCATCTATTAAAGAAAAGTTAAATGATGACTTAAATATATATATATATATTTGGCAAAGCATATCCAGTTACCAAGTAAAGGGACCATTTAAAAAAGGATGTTAAAAATCATTATATTCTATCATCCATGCTTTTAGAGGTCCTTTATCCAAGAAATTATAGATGTTTGGGGAATATGTTCATCTGTGTGTAAGCAAATGGTGCTTCTTATGCAAAAATTTGAAAGTATTAAAAATATCAGTACAACATGCATCTTTCGTTGGATATTCATGATTACCTTTTCTGGTACTCCAGTTTTGAGAAGGATCATCATTGTTGTGCATCAGCTAACCAGTCCTTTGCAGTGTGTGAAAATTGATTTGGCTAGTTACTAATAAACTTTATGTAACTATCAACAATTACATAAACTTAGTTGTAGCAAAGAAATATGATCCAACTGCTTATTTAATAGGATTGTTTGCTTTTTAAAATGCATTTATTTAAATTTGAAAAATGTGCAAAAGCAATAATAGGTCATTTTACCAACAAATATTACTAATTTTAAATGCAAAGTATATAATATTTATACATATATTTATAAATATAACTACCAGGAAATGCAACTAAGGCATTCAATTAACAAAAGAAGAAAACTAACACAAAGGTAGTAAAAAGAATCTTGATTCACCTTAGCCTCCATGTGTATTTCCTATATGACATAATTAGAAATAAAACTTACTTCTCTCCAATGTTCCCTTTGGTGGAAGTTGTGGAAGTTGTCGGCCCCTTCGTCCTGCCACTGGAGTACTTGATGGGCTTGTTTGGACAGACCCAGTACGAGGATGAGACCTATAAGACAGACCATTAATATGCATTTTCAATAGAATGAGTTAAATGCTTTTAATACATTTGGTTCATATGATAGCTGCATAAGTTCAATTTTAAGAGAAGTTTAGCTGCTGATTAAAAGGTTAGGAAAGTAGGACAAAATATGGACATTTGAATGATTAAATAGCAAAAGATGTTTATATTTTTGTGTAATATGCATACATACACAGATACATGCACACAAAATTCTACAGTAAAATCCATGGAATTATTAATGTAAATTAGTATTCTATCCACATGAAAGAAAGAGGAGAATTCTGCAGCTCAAAAAATAAAAGGTAATGCTTTACATTTCTTTCTACCAGATTTCAAACTCTTAGTACTAACCTCCCTCCCTTGATCCAAAGAGATTTTTACTCAGGCTTATAGTAGATATCCCTCTATCAGAAAATATCTCATGAAACTACAAATAAGACCCTAAACAATTAAAAATTCAGGTAAAGAAAATATTGGTTAATACATGATTTAGTATTGATAGAAAGAAACTAAAAATCTAGTTTTATTTATTGTCAGTATGATGATTATTCCAAAAGTGATGTCTAATGGACACAAACAATTTCTCATTCTGTAGGAGAAGAACATGATAGTTATGAGGTGTATTATGTGGGGATTTACCCAGACTCCTGATAAATGAGAAATCACAAAACAAATGCAGTCAGGACAGTTAATAAACAAATTACAATGGTAGCCACACACTATTATATCTGCTGAATATAAATAGTGTGTTTACACTGAAAAGGTTAGTATTGATTGTTATTAGTGATCAGCCAAGGATGATAGAAGAGACCATTTAGCTGCTGGGAAAATAAAATGATGTGCTGGTGGGGCAAAGGGGAAGTTAGTCTGATTGATTATCTTTCACCTCGATAAGGCAGGTGAAGGAGGGGCAGATCTTCCAGTCATTAATGAAGGCATCGACCTCATGAGGTTTGTATCAGGACGCTCAGTGGATCTGGAGCGGGTGGTGGTCCGCTCTAGGAGAGGCCGTTGTTCTGTTGATCTGGATCTGTGATATGGCTGTCTATCTGCTGCTTCACAATCCCTGAAACGTTAGTCAAAAAGCAGCTCAGTTGATCTTTAGTGCCCTTCTACTATTTGGTTATGATGCATCAAACTGATTTTGAAAAAGGTAATTGTTTAAAATTATTGAGTATGTAAAAAAATTTCTCTTCCCCAACATATCACGAACAAATTCTCACTGAACTTCTTAAGAATTTCTGACTCCTAATCTGCCTTTAACAGCAATTCCCAGTGAAGATAAAAGGAGTTGCTCAGTTATAATCAATGACAAACAAAACTTGTCTGCTTTCAAAACTGAATTGCCTAAATGGAACATGTGAAATATGTGAAGTATTCTATTTTAAAAGAATTCAATGACTTCTCCTAACATTTTCAAAAGAGTGAAGAAAAGCATATAAACACTAATTCTCAAGCCCCTAAGGCTATTTATTAGTATACCAACTAAGATATAAAAAGGCTTTTGGCACAATCATAGTATACTAATACAGACGAACATTCAAACAGAAGAATCAAAGTATTATAAGAAAAAGTGCAACTTTGCAGCCTGTAGCCATACTTAAACATGGTCCACAAGAAAAATCACCACATCGTCAGCCAATCTATGCCATCTCTCTCTGTGCACTTTAGCAATGTCAACCAGTACAACTCAGAATAGGTATTAATTTATTGAAATAAAAATGGTTGTGAAACAATGTGATTTCTTTGACCACAAATAAATCAAATATCAAAACCTAATCCTTGTTGAAAGAAGTATACTTAAATTTAAATAACCTATTATCATTTATTTTTGTATCCCTGGAGTTTAGCATAATCTTTTTATGACTAACATGTAATCAATAAATATTTTCTAACTCCAGCCCCACTATCTGTGATACAACCCTAAAAACTCTAGCTTTGGCTCTGGAACTCCAAAGTAATGCATACTCCAAGTATACTTCAAATTAAACTATTACCCCCTCACCTAGTTGTAACCATAAAAATGGAAATGCTTCTATTATTATAGGTAGTAAAGAAAGCATTAGTCTCCCTCAAGACGAATGTATCAAAGACCTCCACCTTACCTATAAATTTTCTCAATCCTATTTTTGGTAATTAAAAATACAAGCAATTAAAGAAAAGTAGGAATATAAAGGACATAACTTCTCAAATATAATTAATTATATGGCATACAATTTCGGACCGGTAGACGTTAGATTAGATGACTTTAGGAAGTAAATACTGGGTTTATTCTACAACATGTCTTGTGATTATCTTACACTTTAAATTCATAGGGTAACATATAAGTCAAACAATTTTAAAATATTTTTAAGTCCATGTACCATAATATGGTTGAATTCCTAAGAAAAGTTTAGAATTTTTATATGTGTACCCAGAATATGTCAAAAAAGCTGAGATTAAATGTAAATACATATACAATATTCAATTACTTGTCAAAGAGAAAAATAAAAAAGACAACTTGATAGTGTAAAAAATCATTATTCTATTTTTGCCCCTGAAAAACTATTTTAGAGAGAACACTTCTCTTTAGAAATAAATATGTTCAATAGTTTGTTAAATGTTTTTGGTGTACATATCTTTGAATATCTTCATCACAATAGATAATCAGAATCAAAGGGATATATATATATCTCTTAGATTCCTTAAAGCCTATTTTTGGAGAGTACCAATCTCTACATTACTTTCAGACTTACTATTATCTTAAGTTAATAATACACATATCTCATTATGCAACATGTGGTAACAAAACCTTGTGGAGTATCTCTGACTTCCCCAACAGAAAATTAGGCTAATATTTTATTTACTTATGCAAAATTTGATTTATTCTTATTCCACCCAGCAATTTTTCCAAGTGGAAAGTGAAATGTTAGGATATACACTTTCACTTCTTTGATACTACATTTTTAATAATTGAAACGTACAATTGTGAGTGAAATCCAGAGAATTATTTCAAATGTCTTGCTATGTTCTAGGTCCTTAAAAGAATACTATTATTTATAAAGCAAACAAGGTCACTCCTGAGGAAATATTCCTTAAAAAAAAAAATCATTTTAGTGAAAAAGTTGTTTAAAGACTATAGTCAATGTTCTAAATTTTACTTATATTTTAATCTCCATATTCACAAATAATACGAATTATATGATTTCCAGAGTGTGAAATGAAAATCAGTTAATAAGTTAAACATAAGAAGAACCACAGTAGAAGGCAGAATTTCCTGAAATGCTCCACCACAGTTAAGGTGAATGGAAAGCTACCATATGTTAAATTTGGATAACACAACAGAAGGTCAAACTAGGCTCCTGCTCCCACAATTGGGTAAGAATAGGTCTTACTAGGTAAGAACTAAGATTATTGATGAGAAAATTGAAAGCAGCAATGCCTATGTCTCATATATAATACCCAGTCTCACAGCAGGTTCTTTAAGGGATTGAGATATAAAACTTGACAATTTCTGCCTAAATTCTTGGTGAATTTTAATTTTAAGATATGAACTTCCAAATTAATTTTGAATAGTAGCAACTGAGACCTGGGAAATAACAGATAACCAAGGCATAAAATATTTTAGTGGAGTTCTTAACTTGGGGTTTGTATTTCAATATGAGCAGTTTCCTTTGTAACCCTACTTACTTACTTTATTTTTCTTCATGCATTTTAAAACACTATTCTAAAGAAAGCGGCCACGAGTTTTACATGACTGCCAAAGGGCAAGCCATATAAAAGTTTAGGAACCACCCACGTGTAAATTTAAATCTTTCTTAGGTAAATAATTTGGTTATCTTTTAAAAAATGATTTAATATCTGTCATCGTTCTATTTTTTTAATAAATAGTTTATATTTTCTAATATGTGTTTAAAATAGTTCAGTTTTTGTAATTGCCATTTACCTGGATAGATATAGATTACCGCTCTGCATGATTTAATGGCCTCTATTTTAAACTGTAAGAATTTGCAGAGGATATATTTTAACAGCCCCTCCACAAATAGAGCTAATTCATATTGACTGACAGTATTGTAACAAGAGCCATTAGTGTAACAACCCAGCTTTAAAAGTATATAATAGCACATACAGATTTTGAGATGAGGATTTCTAAGGGGAAAAGTAATTGTATAATCATCTAGTGAAGTTATCCATTTTGAATCATTTTGCCTCTCAGAATAGTTGCTCTTAAAAGATTTTTTAAATTTCTAAGTATCTGGCACAACTTCTACTTATTTCATCACCTTTGCTGCTTACTTCCCCTATTCCTATTCTCAAAGTACAAGGGAGTTATGCAGTATAACAGAGAAGAATAGGCCAGTGGGCATTCCTTTCTATAATGACTCATATTCAGCGATCACAATGATACAACTCCAGATCAATGTAGAGTACCTCTCTAAATATGACAGAAAAATACTAGGAATACTTAAAAAAAAAATCAGCACAGTGCAAAGTTTCAAAGCAATATTCAGATATCAATGAAAATTGTCCTAGAATGCAGTTCAAACCTTACAGTCTATGTTAAATCTGACAGACTTATTTCATGTTTATATTATAAAGACGGCATATGTAAATGTAATAGGTTTTCTTGAAAAATAAATTTATAAAAAGTAAAGCTATTAAGGAATTATTCTTTCCTTTTTGTAAAGAAATTATTTCTTTAAAAAGCTGAAATCTCAAAAAAAGTTTTGGACTTATCTCTGAAGGACAAGAAGTACAACCCCAGGTTTCAAGCAAGAAATGCCTTCCCTATATCAATATTGTGTAGTACAGTAAAGTGATTAACAGCAATAGCATTACATTTTTGATAAAATATCTTGAATGTCTAGAGAGTTTCTGAGCATTAGCTGCATAATTGAAGAAATAAACACACGACAAATTTAAAAACGAAACATTTTAGATTAATTTATAGCAAATATACATATTTGTATAAGAAATAACTTAAAGTAATTATATAATTCAATTCTATAATTTTCATGTTTATTATAATGTGCAAGGTACAAGTTTAACTTTTTAAAAATTCTAGTTTATATTATTTTTGCATTACTTCCAAAGTTAAGAGAATTGTAAGACACAAAATACCATGGAAATCATGGTAAACAAGTATTGTGTGGAAATAGAAATATTTTATTATTTTGAAGGAAGATAGATTAATTTATCTTTGGGCATGATAGAATTTCTCTACTGAACATTTCTGTTCACTTGAACATAAATTCTTTATGTTAGCTAAAAGTACATGAGCTCATTCAAAAATAACAGCAATATCTAGAGTCAGCCAAGTTAATAACAATCTAAAATGTGAAAATAGGAATAATACATACATTGATGAGAGAAAGTGAGACATCTTTAATGTAGAAAAACATACTACTACTACCCATAAGCCTATTTTATCATCAAAAAGAGAAGTAAAGTGTTCTCAAATCTAGAGAAGTATTTTTTTAGTCACTATTGGAAACAGAAAGAAGAAAAGAGTAAATATCCCGATTTTCTTGAGAACATTAGAAATGAATAAAATACTGAACAACAAAGATATGTTGTTTTATAAAATATGCACAAACAGAAACATATAAGGTGCAAATGTTTTGAAGATATTTTGAGTATTTCATTAAATATTTATAATTTTCATTTTTATTTAATTTTTACTTCAAAAAGTAGAAACAAAAACAAAAATAGGCAGGATTATGTACCCAGCAACAATTACACATGAAGCAAATTAATACATCTTTAAAATATATATTTTCAAAATCCTGATAATATAACATACCCATATTCTATCATTAAAATTATTTTACTACATACATAGTTTTCATTTTCAGTGGATGCTTAATAAAGTTTTGTCAATTGTAAGAAATTCAAGTTGCTCCACCAAGGTATTGGCCCTATGTTTCCCCTTCCAAGGTCCTCCAAGATTCAATAAAATGACAAACATTTTAAAGATGTATCTCTAAAGGACCAATTTATGCATTGTATTATATTATGCAAGTAAATGTGACGAGGCATGGTCCTCACACTAGAATATCTCAGTGCTATGTTCAACAGTTTCACTGA